ACTTTTTACTATTTGTTTTCTTAAGAAAAGATTGTATTCCTTAAGTAAAATTTTTTATGAGTTAGTATTTAACCATAATTACAAAAGCATATCAGCTATCACTCAAATAATGTGCCCTTATTTACAATGCATCAATTCCCAAAAATTTGTTTAATTATTTTGTTCATTGTCTGACTCATGGCATTTGTAGAAGAAAAAAATTTAACTTTTTAAATTTGAAACATAATTATCTAATATATATAAGCAAGCAAGGTATGTTTAAATGTGATGAAATCTATCTTCGTTTTCTAACATAACAGGGTGCCTAGCATTTTTAAAAAATGCTCAAAGGTGCTTATTTTTTATTTTCATATTTTAAAAGATATTTAAGGTGTTTTTATTATATTGTGGGCTTGAAAAAAGTGCTTAATTTTCTATCTTTTAAAAAGAAATTTTTTAGTGTGGCGATTGTTGTCGTAAATAAATTACAAAAACAAAAAAAAACTTGATATTCAAGATTTTCTTTGCAATATTTAACCGAAACTAGTTTAAGTTTTCAAAAATGTGTTTGTATTTTTTTGGAAAGTGATAAAAAATATTTTTTGAGTGCTCATTTTTTGTTGAAAAATTTGATTATGCATGCTGTATAAATATTATTACTGTATCCTTAAATGATAAAGTACGATTGGGTAATTTTAAGAAGCAAAAATATGGAGAAAGGTTACAACAGAAATGTTTAAACTAATATGTCAATATATTAACCACTGGTCTTTTAATTTTCACCAGCACACATTTTAGAATTTTTTTTTCTTCTTCTTAGCATAAATTAAAGGATTTTTATGCTCTTTCTGGTAGACTTCTCCATAATTCCTTCTATTTTTATCAATCAAATTAGTTTTAGCTTATTGCTTTTAACCAGATTATAAAAAAAATTAATGTGTATTTTATAGTGGCAAAATAGTGCATCATATCATTCTGTATGCAATTAAAAAGTTAACATTTATTGAGAGTAAATGCTTTTTTAAAAAGTCACATTTAACTTTTTTACACATTTTTTACTTTAACTCATTTCTGTAAACAAACTAAACTACAGAAACAAAATTTAAAATTTTGACTATTTTTATGAAAAAAAAAATTCTGATGGAGAATTGAGGGGTAAAAAAATCTGTTAAGGAAAGAATAGGTAGTTTTCTTGAATGTCATTAATGAATATTTAATTTCAATCATTTCTAAAACTTATGCTATGCCATTGCTCTATTTTTAGGTGCTGTGAGGAGAAATCCTTCGATCCAAGACATAGCAACAGACCATGAAATTGAAAAATGTATGAAAAACGGCATGCAAAAAGCAAGAAATGTTTCTTCATTAAAAAATTTTAAATTTTAAATTTTACTTTTTTGTAAATAAACTATTTTTTTGTAAATAAACTATTTATATATGATTGTTTCGATTTATGCCCTTATTTATTTAACATTCTTTTCAAGCATGAAAAGTAAAAAAATTTCAGTTTCAGAAATTTTCCTTTTTTTCTAATTTAAATTAAAACTCAATAATAATTTAAACTTTTCTTAAAGTTAATTTAAATTTTTTTTTTAATTTTAGAAAATAAATCATTGATGTTTTACAATTTTTTTTTTCATAATTGAAAAAATTCAGAATCTTGAAATATTTTCATATTATTCCTTCAACCTTCATTTTTCAAATACTACAACCAGTTCTTTTCTTCCAATAAAATTTTTTATGCCGTAATTGTAATTACGTTTCTAATTTAAAACACTCTGAATATTACAATCACCTTGGAAAAAAATGTATTTTAATAAAATTTTACTAAATTCAGTATATTATAAAATTTACTACTTTAACAAATTTCTTAAGGTAGCAATCAAAGCAAAAAATAATTTCAAGTATACAAATATTTCAAATTAGAATTCTGAAATAATTTGTCAAATAAAGTGAATCGGGTATTATGAGTATTTTACATATATCCTAACATTTTGCAATCAATATTCTCAAAACTTACGTGATATACAATCTAAATATACTCATAATACAAGATAAATCAATTTAATGAGAAATTCTCAATTAAAAATTTGTATCGTTTAATAATAAATAATACAAATTTAGTAAATAAGCATTCTTTAAATACTTTAGTAAACAAAAATGAAATATGTCTCTCAGACATTCAGGGTTGTCTCTGAGACATCTAAAAGAATATCCTTGGGATATCCAGAAACTAAATATAACAGACATCTAAACGATGTGAGAGAGATATCAATGTTTAACTTAGGACATCCCTTGGATGACTGTGGTAGGTCAAAGATATCTGTCGGATGTCTCTTGGATATGCAACAGACATCAATATCCAAATATCTGCTAGACATCATACAGATGCGACCCCTGGATTTCTGTTGGATATTTCATGGATATTCAGACGTCTCGGGGATCTCTGGTGGATATGGCAATATCCAGTTTTTTTATCCAAGAGATATCTCAAAGATGTGTTGTGGCTGTGTGGGGCTATGCCAATATCTTCAATAAGTTGAAAAAGGTTTTTATTATGTTCTTCAGAAAATCAGTATTGTTACTTTTCTAGTTGTAACTTTTATATTCAATTTAAGTATTGGAGAAATACAAAATAATCTCTATCTGAACTGTAACTTAAAAAGAAAATTGTAATTCTTATAATTATTCTGTAATTATTTATTTGTAATTATTCTTATTCTGTTTTTTTTTATAACACTTTATGTAATTTATGAATGAAATACCAAGAAGAAAGTTCACCTAATTTCATAATTTTTTTTTTTTTTTAATATTTTAGTAACAATGAATTATCTTAATTGAAAAGTATATTTTTTCTTAACTATTCACATCATTCATTACCAAAAGTGATATCTTTATAATGATAACATTTTTGTCTCATGGTTTTAAATTTTTGAGATTAACTAAAAAGAAATAAATTACAATTATATTTTTACTGTTCATTGGTTTTATCCCTTTGTAGCTTGGTAAAATTTTTTTGTTTCAAGGGCATCACCAAGGATCTTTTCTAGTAAATGCTTCTATGGTTTTACGTATATTAGTGCCAAAAACATTTCTTTAGATATATTTATTATTTTTTTAAAACTCTTTTCTATATTTAAGAAAATAACAAACTACCTTCTAGGAAAAAATAGTTTAGTTTATGATAGTATTAAATATTTTTACAATTTGATTTTTTATAAATATTGATATATTTATCTTATTATCGAAAGATTTTGCAAAGCTTGTATTTAATTTTATTTCAAATTATTTGGTGATTCATATTGTAAATTTTTTCTAGTACATTAATGGTGGAAGCTTGGAACAGCTTTTTCAGAACAAGCATATTGAGTTGTCATGGGAGACAAGAATTAAACTGCCATTAGATATAGCTCATGGCATATGTTACTTACATTCACGTGGTGTTTTTCGCAGAGATCTTACTTCAAAGGTATGAAACATCTGTTATGATTTGACCTCATCTTTCTTTTCATTCTGTGTTTATTGTTGTGTTGCTGGCATCAGATTTGTTTGATTAGTATTTTATTTACTTGTATTTTAGTGTGTGCACTGGTAAGAAATTACCAGCTATTAAAACTATTTTTACATCTCATAATTATGGAGAACTGTATGTGTATTGTAAGGATAATAACTGAAATTTTTTTTTTAGAGTTTATCTTTTTTTCTATAATTTTACCTACTGGTTATGAGAATATGTTGGCTGTAAAATTATTAAATTATAATCAGTTATTTTTTTAAGTGTTATAAATTTAAACAAAATAAAAATTTTAAATTTATCTAAAATAGTTTTTTAGTTTAAATTTGAGCCATGCTTAACATCGTGCCCCAGCACAATGTTTTTCTTTGCCCCCCCCCCTTTTTTTTTTTTCCTTAAGGTTTTTTTAAAAAATTAATTAGACCTAAAATGCTTAAACAATATTTTTTTAGTAGATTTGAATTTTTAATACTTGTAAATCTTCATTGAACTACTATGACATTTAACTCTTTGACACACAATTTTTATTAAACATATTTTTTATTATTTAATATTAATTTAGGTCAAAATGAGTGAAAAATATTATATTTAGAACTTTAATAATTTATGGTTATGATATACAGCTATGTCTTTTCATGTGTTAAAGATTAAATCTTCCAAACACTGCTCACTTCGAAACAATAATTTTTCAAATTTGCACTTAATTGCAGTTATTTATATTTAAAAGGAAGTTATTTATCATTGAAATTTCTTTAGTTTACAAAATCAATAATTGATCAATTTTAATATGATTAAAAAGAAATTCAAACTACTTTCTTTGGATTTTATATTTTAGTGTAAATATAATTGTGATAATCTTCTAACAATTTGTTTTCGTAACTATTACTGATTTTCATAATTGAAAAATACTAAAATATATGTGTTTGTAATTAGAGGGTTTGTAATTCGAATATATATATGAAAGGGACACTGGCGTCCCACTTGCATCAAAGTGTCTAAGATGAATTGAGCTTAAAATGTTCCCAGCACAAGTTCAGTTTAGTTAAAAGGTTTTAGGCTAAGGCAAAATTTTTCTTTCACTAAAGTTCTCTTTTTCTGAAAATTATACCAAATTATACATATATTATAAAGAATTATACATTATATATATATATTATGAAGAATTATACATTATTTCTTTCATTGCAAATTATGGCTTTAATTTGACATATCGTTATGCATGCAACTTTAACTCAAATTTTTTTACTTTAAACATTTGAAATCTTTCATCTTCATAAGTTACTATAATGTTCTAATTTGCTGCGCATTTGCAATATATGAGACATAAAAATGTGTTATTATTTTTATTTTAATATACATTTCATTTATAAAGAAAATTTGTAAGTTTTAACTTTTATTATTATGTATATGATTTGTAAGTAGTGATACTTTGTTCTACAGAATGTCCTCATCAAAATGAATGAAGATGAGATGACCGCAGTTGTTGGGGATTTTGGCTTAGCAGAGAAAATACCAGATTCAAGTTAAACTGTAACTGCCCACGAGCCTGTATATATTTGAATGTTTATAGAACATTATTTTAATATATTTTCTGTATTAATCTGTTAACTGGGTGAGAAACAAAATAGCCAAACTTCATTAAGACTTCAGCAATAGATTATTCTTTTGAAAAAATTGAATTCTTGTGTCCACCTTTTATTTGGTTAGTCCATCTTAATTTAGACAGCTTCCTTAAACTTTCAAAAGACTTAACTGATTAAAGTTTATTTTTAATTGGTTTAAGATAAATCAGATTACTAGTTGTAACTGTCCTTCTTAATGCTGAAAAACTTGTAACCATTTTGATGAAGGTACCCAGCTAATGGATAAATATCTCAATCAATCAATCAATTCAAAACTCCCGTTTGAATTTCTGGTTTCTTATATATGATGTTAGCACTTTTTAACTGGTAGATAGCACTGATGAAAGTACCAACAGATGGTGATAATTTTTTTTTTATTAAAGCGTATTTTATATGTATCACATTTATCCGTAATTTAATTACAGTCCCAGTTTATTCTTAATATATGCTATGTTAAAATAATTTGTTTATATGACTGAAAAGCTTAAAATATTGGTTATATGTTTTTTTTTCAGGGATGAGATTTTTCCGCTTTTTAGCGGATTTCCGCTTTTTTCACTTTTATCTCTTGAATTTCAGCTTTTTTATCAAAAATTCAGATTTTCTAAAAATTGCACTTCTTTTTATAAGTATTCCGCTTTTTCAGAAAATTTACCGATTTTCAAAGAGAAACAGAAAATTCAAACTACATAGCTACCAATCCTTTCTCATTTTCACTTATTTTAGCTATTTTCTCCCCTTTTACACGCAGCAGATAAGATTTTCTGAATTTTTTACCCCGCCCTCCTGATAGATCCGATTTTCGTAGTTCAAGCGACGTTGCTTCTGACAAGCCTTTTAGAGGTCCCAAGCCTGGAATCTGCTAATATCTCGATTCTTATTCACACAATTTTAATATCAAACATAGCTTTTCATATTTGCGTGTTGCGATTCTTATTCACGCGATTTGAATATTGTACGTTGC